ATACATACATACATACATATGTGTGTGTGTGTATAGTTATTTTCATAGTAGATTTACACCACTGTCATCTGGGAGTAATTCCCTTATTCAATACAGAAGGATTTCTCATCCTTCTAAATATTTTCTTTCTAGCTCAGAGTGCCTGTGGCCCAAAAAATAAGAGATTTTAAAACAACAAAAACAAAAATTCTGGCATCTCCATATGGGTTAGCTTTCTTTTCTAGTCTTTTACTTGAGTTAAAAATACTTCCTTGAATTTAGACTGACAAAGATATTGAAGGACATCTAATATCATTTAGAGCACTGCTCCTGTGCTCTTGTTCAGTAGTTCCTCAAGTGGAGGTGATTGGAGATTCTAGAAGAAAGGAATAAACTAGGGTAGCTCATATCACCCATTCCATGTTTTTTCTCTTTAGGATGTCCCAGCCTGAAGTGAAATTCGACCTGTTCTGCCTTCTGCTATGCTGTAAATTTAGCAATAAAGTTTCTGCTCCATATGTGACCTAGTGCAGGTAAGGTGCCCTGTAATGGGAGGTAGTGTAGGAAAATCCCCTGCTGCTAAGCACCGCACTAGCAACACCATGAACTACAAAGCTCACATGTTGCATTTCATTATGCTTACTTCATGTCTATCTTGAATTGCCTAGTAACCAGAGAAAACACAAAGGTAAGTTGTTAACATTCTTCATTGCAACAAATTTTTTAGAACTAATTCTATATTGAGGAATGTCTTAAATTTTAACTAAAACTCCTTGATAAATTACAGAGTTGCTGAATTTATCTAGATCTAAATCTTAAACTGTATCTATCATATAGATTTATATGATTTATCAAGAGCTATTACTACGTATATATACTTGAATCCTTTTACAATTTTCATAATGCAACCAGAAAGTGACCCTTGAGATCCTTGAGAGTAATTATATAAACATACCTTGATTTGGTGTCTCCAGCCTAATTATCACAAAGCTAAAATTTTGGCACAAATGGAACAAAGATAATAAGACTTGTAAAGCAGCAGACCTACAAAATGTTAAAAACAATTTTATTTACATAGTAAATCTTCACACAGACCTAATTATATGTATTAAACCTAATGTTCAACATTATTAGCAAGTCAGAGAATTTAGAAAAAATCAGACATAATTTTAGATAAATATATTAATATTAGTCATTAATATTAATCCCTATTTGATTAAATGACTCTATATGAAAATAAGTGTCTTCGAATTATTTTCAGCCTGCTACATTTTTAATGAAATAGCGGTGGCTAAGCGCATTGGCTCACGCCTGTAATGACAGCTCTTGGTAGGCCAAAGTGGCAGATCACTTGAGGCCGGGAGTTCGAGACCAGCCTGGCCAACATGGTGAAACTCTATCTCTACTAAAAATATAAAAAAATTATCTGGTCGCTAGAGGATGCCTGTAATCCCAGCTACTCAGGAGGCTGAGGCAGGAGAATCACTTGAACAGGGGAAGTGGAGGTTGCAGTGAGCCGAGATCATGCTACTTCATTCCCAACCTTGTGACAGATCAAAACTCTGTCTCAAAAAAATAAATATGAGATGTGTAATCAATATTTTGGGCCCCTCTTGTTAGCTAATATGTTTAAGCCTAGGTCAAGATATAGAAACTGACTCCAGATTATTAGCATGTTTCAGTACATAATACTTTAAAATAATTCAACACTGATACATAATAATTATACTATTCCACTTAGGATATAAATGATGGTAAGAGAAATCTCATGTTCTTATCCTGGCATGATGGCTCACACCTGTAATCCTAGCACTGTGGGAAGCCAAAAGTTGAGAATCCTTTGTTTGGTGAGCTTGAAACCAGACTGGGTAAATACAGTGAGACCTATCTCTACAGAATATTTAAAAACTAGCTGGGCGTTGTGGCAAGCACCTTAGTCCTAGCCACTGGGGTTGTTGAGGTGGGAGAATTGCTTTTCCCAGGAGATCAAGGCTACAGTGAGCTATGATCACATCACTGCGCCCAGAAGCCTGGGTGATACAGTGAGGCCCTGTCTCTTAAATAAACAAAAATAATCCCAGAACTCTAATGTTCTTATATATGATATAGGATTCTTTAATATATCAGGCCAGGCATGGTGGCGCATGCCTATAGTCCCAGCTAAGGCTGACACGAGAATCGCTTGAGCCTGGGAGGCAGAGATTTCAGTGAGCCGAGATCATGCCACTGTACTCCAGCCTGGATGATAGAGCGAAACTTCGTCTGAAAATAAATGAATGAATGAATGAATGTATAATGAAAGTTTTAACTTAACAAATTTTATTTATGCCTCACATTGATGAAATTATAAGAACTAATAATACTAATATACATATATTTTACAAAAAGTTTTTTTTAAATTAAACCCTTATGATATACGAAGTTATTTATTTATTTATTTATTATTTATTTTGAGATGGAGTCTTGCTCTGTCACCAGGCTGGAGTGCAGTGGTGCGATCTTGGCTCGCTGCAACTTCTGCCTCCTGGGTTCAAGCGATTCTCCTGCCTCAGCCTCCCGAGTAGCTGACTACAGGCGTGTGTCACCAGCCCCAGCTAATATTCGTGTTTTTAGTACACATGGGGTTTCACCATGTTGGCCAGGATGGTTCGATCTCTTGATCGTGATCCACCTGCCTCAGCCTCCCAAAGTGCTGGGATTACAGGTGTGATCCACCACACTCGGCTGCAAGGTGACTTAAATTAATCAACAATTTAATCTTAATGCAATAATTTTTGTCATTTGTAATATTTTTCTCAGTAGCTTATCTTGAAATCGTTAGATCAGATTTCAAACTAAGATTTCAAAGTCAGATTTCTTTGAAATCACACTTCAAAAATATTTAGATTTTAGAAAGGTAATGTGGTAAATATACTGCATATTATGGAATATCCTGGTGGCAAATCGTAGAATAATCACATGAACTGGGATCAGTAAAGACTTACCCTGGTTGGGTGCGGTGGCTCACCTGTAATCCTAGCACTTTGGGAGGTTGAGGTGGTGGACATGAGGTCAGGAATTCGAGACCTGCCTGGCCAACAGGGTGAAACTTTGTCTCTATTAATAATTAGCTGAGTGTGGTGGGCGGTGCCTTAATCCCAGCTACACGGGAGGCTGAGGCAAGAGAATTGCTTGAACCCAAGAGGTGGAGGTTGCACTGAGCTGAGATTGTGCCATTGCACTCCAGCCTGGGCAACAGAGCAAAAACTCCGTCTAAAAAAATAAGACTATAAATACCCCTACATCAGCATACATCAGATTTTACCAAACTTATGTTTAGGTATTCATAAGTGTTGAATTTTGAAATTCCATGTGAAGAATTGTAGATCTGCATATATTTTCAAATACTAATAGTTATAATTCCACAGTTTATAAGTCCAATTTTTTGGGTTATTTTCATTATTAATACTTTTCCATTCATCTACTCCTTTCTAAGAGAGATTACAATATGTTTTTTTTTTTTTTTGAGATGGGTTCTCGCTTTGTCCTCCAGGCTAGAGTGCAATGGCACAATCCTGGCTCAGTGCAACCTCCAGCTCCCAGGTTCAAGCAATTCTCCTGCCTCAGCCTACTAAGTAGCTGGGACTACAGGCGCATGCACCACACCCAGATAATTTTTGTATTTTTAGTAGAGACCGGTTTCATCATGTTGGCCAGGCTGGTTCAGGAACCACTGACCTCAAGTGATCCACCCGCCTCCGCTTCCCAGAGTGATGGGATTACAGGCATGAGCCACCGCACCTGGCCAAGAATAAAATATGCTTCTAAATTGATAGTCTATCATTTATCCACATTTCTATGATGAATTCAAGTAATTTCTCTAATTTCTCCCTATTGAAAATAATGATGCAACAAATAATTTCATTTATGTATATTTTTGTTCATTTGAACAATTTCCCTAGAATAAATTCCAAAGCATAAGCCAGTAGATCAAAGAGAATTAAATCCTTTTATTTTTAAAAACATATTGGCAGATTTCCTTCAGAAAGCAATTAAGCAATTTACAATGCCCCCAGAAAAATATTAGTATGCCTTTTTGGTAGTATTATTAACTGGACCATCGATATTCCTTTCTTATGCCCCTTTAATAGTGTAGGATGGTTCATTTACTCTTTTTTACATTAGCATGTCTTTAATCGCTACTAGTGAAAAGAACATAGTCCCATGTATAAATGTATGTGTTAAAAGTGCATTCATTTTCTTTGTCCTTTTTGTTGATCAAGGTCTTAGTGGTAGCTGGGTGTATATTTGAATATGTTTTTAGTTATTAACCCTTCTTCACATTATAGTTATTTTGGTCATTTTACTGATGCTTAACTGGTAAGAATCAATTTCCACTAGGATAAAAGTCAGAAGAACAGAAATTGTGAGTTCTCAGGAAGATCCCAGGACCTTCATGACTCCTGGAAGAGCCAAGAATAATCATTCCTATTTTTCATCTCCAATGGAAAAGAGAGTGCATTATACCTTTTCTAGCCTATTCTGGAATAAATAATTAAATTTTAGTAAAACTAACAAAGAAAATACTGCAAGTTAATGAATAGTCTCTAAGCAATTTGTTAGACTTTTATTTTCTTTTATTGTTATTTTTAGTTAGACTTTGTTTTTGAGAAGGAGTCTCGCTCTGTTGCCCAGTCTGGAGTGCAATGGCTTGATCTCCACTCACTGCAACCCCTGCCTCCCAGGTTCAAGTGAGCTCTGCCTCAGCCTCCCTAGTAGCTGGGATTGCAGGTAGGCAGCACTAATGCGCCTGCCATTTTTGGTACAGACAGGGTTTTGCCATGTTGGTCAGGCTGGTCTCCAACTCCTGACTTCAGGTGATCTGCCCGCCTTGGCCTCCCAAAGTGCTGGGATTACAGGCATGAGTCACCGTGCCTGGCCTGAGGCAAGCATTTCTGACACTTTTGCCCTACGGTTTCTTTTGGCCCCCAAAGATTACCAGCAACATGTTTGCATCATCTACCCCTGCATGTTACTCAATCTTTTTTTTTTTTTTTTTTTTGGGAGGGGGGTGGTCTTTGAGATGCTGTTGAGAGTTATGGCTCTTTCCCCCCAGAAAAATGCAGATACTTAGCAGTCAGCACACAGTTCCAGTGGGTCCCTGGAATATCTGAAGCCCAGCCATAGGGATCAGACAAGAAGTCCTGAGCCATACCAGAAAGAGTAGGGTCCCACTGGGTGCTAAAGCTGGGAGTGTGAGTGCCCTGGGGTAGTGGCTAAGTTGTTGGGAGGCATTTGCTGGTCCTCCTCCCCTTAATGGGACGGAAGCACTTTGCTGCCATGGTCAGTTCATTCTTCTGGTGGGCTGTGGGCTGGTACCAGCTTGCTCAGGGCTACCTTGTGTCCTTTTTCTGCAGCCATGAGCTCCTGCCCCGTTACCCTTCTTGGGCTGTGGCCATGGAGTTCTGAAGAACTGGTGGGCACACGGTTGTTTGGAGAGGAGCTAGCTCTGTGCTAGAGGGCCTGGGAGGCTTGGGGCATTGGGGAGACCCAGGCGGCTACCCGTGTCTGCAAATCCACACTCACAGGCCGTCTCCTCAAGCGCCGACAGAAGGACGGCAGTTGGGGCCTTCTGATGCTTCTGCATCTGACTTCGGACGCCAGATACTTTCTCCTGCCAAGTGCTCCCTAGAAGCAAAGGAGCCCAAAGAAAGTGTAAGTGACAGACCTTGCCTTTGGCACTTGGTTCCTGGAAGGTCAGCCTTAGAGTAACAGTTTTGCATCCTCTTAAAAAGCAGCAGAACCCTTTCCTCAAACAAACTCTTAATGACATGGGCCCTGCACCAAGATGGGGCTCAAATCCTGGCTTTGCCATTACTGGATGGGTGATCTTGGGCAAATTACGTAACCCCTCTGTGTCTCATTTTGCACATCTGTAAAATGGGGATGAAGTATAATAAGTATCTGCCTCAACAGGGTTGCTATGAGGATGGAATGAATTAATATTTGTAAAGGACACTCAATGGTATCTTGAGATGTAGTAACTCTTGTATCTTTCTGATTAATAAATGAGCATGTAGACTGAGATCAGGAGAGCAGTTCTAGTTGAAGGACAAAGGGGTAGGGCTGGGGCCATGTTCAACCTTCTCCTCTGCAGTAACTGTAGTATTTACTAAGCCACGGGTACTGGTCTAAGTACTCCATGTGCATTGTTCTAATTCTTACCCGTCCCATTTTACAGATAAGGAAACTGAGGCTTCAGAGAGGTAAAGTGATTGTCTAGGGTTTCATGGATGCAAGACGTGGAGCTGGGATTTGAACTCTGGTCTGTCTGACTGCATGGTCCACGCTCTTAATCTGTACAGACACTACTGTCTTGATAACATCGTCAGTCTCCAAATCTGTCCTTAAACTCTGTGTCACAGCACCGTCCTTTCTCAGATGCTTATATCCAGGTTCTAGGACTTTAGTTTTCATCTTCTGTCCCTGCCCCCTGCAAGGTATTCAAAGGATCTACACCAGGCAGGACTAGGAGTTTGCTGGCCGAAGGCCATAAAAAGTCCTAGTTGGGTTCAGATATGAGCGTAAGTAACTTAATGTCGTGAAAAATATTTCGTGTAAACCAGTAAAACTATTCAACAATGACCAAAGCTTTGGGTACAATACATTTTGCAGGTTTATTTTACTACATATTTAACACATAATTTATGTTATGTGTAAAATACACATAGCATAAAACGTATCATTTTAACCTTTTGAAAGTGCACAATTCAGTGGCTTTCAGCACACTCACAATGTTGTGCGACCATTGCCACGATCTAATTCTAGAACATTTTCATCATCCCCAAAGGAAACCCTGTGCTCACTAAGGAGTCACTCCCTATCCCCCCCCCCCCCCCCCGAGCCCCAGGAAACCACTAATTTATTTTCTGTCTCTATGGATTTGCCAATGCTGGATATTTCATACAAATGGAATTGTACAATTCCATTGAGAAGGCCAGGCCTTCTCTGACTGGCTTCTTTCACTTGCAATTATGTTTTCAAGGTTCAGGAATATGATACCTTTCTGAGAAACCAAATGAACCCAAATTTCAACGGTCTGGTGCGTACAGGTATCTTTGAGTAGCGAACTTTTCATGTTCTGCCCTTTGCACTCTCCTTTCTCCTTTAAAACCTGCAAGTGGCTGGAAAGTCTCTCTCGTCTCTATAAGCTTATTGAAGCTGAGCTCTGTTCTTCAGCTTCCAAACTCAAGCTCCAGGTGCCTTTTTCTTGAAGACTGGCAACGTGCGATGACTCGGCATCCCCTCACTTTTGGGAAGTGACAAAACCCTTCCAGCCCCAGAAAGGTTTTTCTGTTTTTTCTCCTTTCCTTCCCGACATAACTTTGACTTTCTTTATCTGAATAAGATGAGTTTTATTTATAATTTAACAGTCTTGGATAGCAAGTTTCTTTTAAAATGTTGTGAAGATGCAGAAAGAATGATTCTACAATTTACATCAGAACAGATAAAGAAAAATGGACACAATTTTCACTTGTTTCATCATGGCTGCTATTTTGAAATCTCCCTTCTGCTTTATTGGCTCCTTTCTAAATGAGAAATTGTGTGGACTTGCATGTGGAAAGGGATCTCTTGGCTTGATCACTGTTACTAGGAATCCAAGTTCATTGGCTCATTCAGAATTCCCAGGGAGATAGGAGTGGTTGATGGCCAAGATACTGATTCATAATCAGTAGCCCGGTCCTGGTCAGGACTTTAGTTACAACTTACAGGAATCTTACAACATACTGTTCTTTTGTGATGTATTTAAATAGTGTCAACAGGGTCAAGGTTATTGATGTTATATTTTTCTAATTTTCCTGATTGGTTCAGCAAACCTGAACTGTAATCTGTGCTACAGAATGACTCTGAACTTAGTTATTTACTTATTCTGTCCACTCCTGGCCCACCTGACCCCAGCCATCTCACAAATCTAAATTCTTCATCACAAGAGGGTCACAAGTAAAGGTCTGAATGATTCATTATGAATCAGTCTCTGCCACTAGACAAGCAAATCATATCATGCTTTTTTATCTCTCTTGAAAGGGGTTGGATATTTCCTCTCATCTTTCTCTGTTTTCCTTCTTTCCTCCCTTCCTACTCCATCTTGCTTCAAATCCTAACATTCTTTAATCCAACATTTTCTAAGTATGGTCGGAGGACATTTTGATTCAGACTCCTCAAGGGGAGGGGGCCCTGAAATCTGCATTTTAAACAAGCATCCCAGGTGACTCATGTGCATGCTAAGGTTTGCAAACCACTGCTTTGGTACCTCTGATGATGAAGTTCGCTACCTACAGAATAGCAGCTGGGACGTGCGTTGCTACAAGTTGGGAAGGAAACTGGGCTTACTGAATCACCTGTGAATGCCTCCGGCAGGGCATAAATGGGTTGATTTGGAACCGGTGGCCTCTCTGATCCCCACACCACGTCCACAAGGTTGGTTGTGATGGACACCAGCTGTCTGTTAGAGCCTTGGAGGGCCAGATTATAACTCTCCCAGGTGTCTGCAGAGACAGGAAGGAGTCACTTGTCCCTTGCCCATTTACACCTCAGGAAAAAATTGTGATTCAAGCAAAGTTAGTCCTGGTTCCCTTTGCCTCCATTTGCAGCCCAGCTGCCCTGAGCCTGCCCCAGCAGCCTGCCCTCCCATCCCCTGGCATGTGTGCCCATGCTGGGGTATGTTTCTCATCCTCTTTCTGCTTTCCAAGCCTAATGCCCTGAGCCTACTCGAACACTGACCGCCACAAATTGGCTAAGCTTGTCTTTTACATTGCCAGCGGCTGTGGGTGGTCCTTCTTTTGGGCACTAATTATTTTATCAGGGCTTCAATGTCACAGTCCAAAGGAATGGTGATGTTCTGGCCATTGGACAGGCTGGCAAAGAAGCCAGTTCTAAAGCACAAGCCTTTCAGTACATATTCATAAGGACTCCCCTTTGGGAGAACGGGCTGGCCAGCTGTCTGGGGCCCCAGAACTCAGAAAGTTGTATTCTCAGGGGCCTTTTTAAAAAAAAAAAAAAAAAAAAAAAACAACTCAGAGGCCCTCCCAACTCTTTTGACCCTTCTAAGCTACCTTCCAGAAGAGGGTTACCATGTGATTCCAGCACCATCATTGGCAGGGTTCCAGAGGAACAGAAGATGGTTCTGAGTTCAAGCACATTCTGCCTATTCATCCACTGGATCTTTAATGATTCACTGAGTCTTCTAGGTTGGGTCTCTGCACTCATGGATTTTAAAATATTTGTACTGATTCTTTTAAATGTATTTTAATTACACAATTCCATGAATACATCCTCATTGCAAAACATTCTGCAACTACAATTTCAAATGCTCTATTTTTATAGTGCCACCGCCCCTCCTTCTACCAAGGTCCATTTCTTTATATCCCAGGAAAGCTAAGTCACCCTTATTGGCATGGACAAATTCAGGGACCGAGGGAAGACCATACCAATGGACAAGAGGAAGGGGTCAAAGCCCACACACCCTCCAGCGGGAATCTTGGTGAGGAGCCAGGTGACAATAGGAGTGGTGCCAACTGAAAGAAAGATAGGAAGGAATGCAGAGGTCACCCCCAGGGCCAGCCCAAGGCCCTGCAGCCAGGGGTTCTGTCTGACGGTCCTACCATGTGTGTCTTCCTTGAGATCAGCCTCGAAGGTCAGTGATGGCCTCAAATTTCCTAAGCTCCCCATAGGGACCCAGCATGGTCTTACATGCATGCTCTCACCTATATCTTCCTGAACCTAGTCCAGGTCCCAAGACTTGGGGGACAAATCCATACGGCCCTTCTACCTTCCTTATGGAGCTCCCAGTTGCAGTCCATCTGCCGCTCAGCCTGAGTCCAGTAGCGACTGTGGGTCCAGACAGCTGCTTTCTTCGTGGTCACCACTGCAGTTCCTGGGGCAGAACAGAGAAACTTGCAGGTGAGGGTGAAGGGGAGGAACATGGCATTAGCTGATGGATGTGCAATTCAGTGCTGGCTCTGAGAATGCCACGAGGGGCCTCTGGAAAGAGATTCTCTCCTCCATTGGAAGGAAGTGAGGAAGGAGATGTTAAAAAGAGCTATGGGGGGAGCTGGCAGAAAGGTGTCCTGAATCAGGCACCTCTGCTTTGTGTCGAGGGCTGCTTGTGGACTTTCAGCAGAAATGAGGTCAACTTTTGGCTGCAAGTAGGCGCTCTCAGGAAAGATGGGGCTCAGCGTAAAGACTCGGTGGCTGATCGGGATGCTAAGGCAGAGGCTCAGCTGAGGACTGGTGGGGAAGAATAATCCAGAGATTTTGGCAAAGGGAAAAAGAGCCTATGATGCACGAGGCAGGGTAGTTTGAAGCCCAAGGAGGAACGTTTGAGGATCAGAAAAGGAAACTTGGATTTCATTCAATGGGCCAGGATCACGGTGCGAGGCCCCTTCAGACACTGTGATCTCATCAAGGGCTTCTGTTTGTGTCTCATTTGGCCATGTGAAGTGATGTTGTCCGTAAAGCAACTGGCAAAGGAAAGCTTTGTCCCCAAATGAGCCCTCATGTGAAGGGAATCGGCAGATTCTTAGTGGTTAGAGGTAGAAGTAGCAACTATTCAGAAACGGAGCCCAGGAGTGCCAGACTGGGCCTGGCTGCAGCAGCGGTAATGAGCATGGGAAGGCAGCCTCTGCCTCATTTCTACACATCGGCCTCATTTCTACACAGAAAGTGGCTGGTGGGCTATGAGATATGTGCCCTGGGGAATATGATGGCTTTGGGCTGGTGGAGGGAGACAGAGAGAGTAGAAGGGTTTCTCTACAGTAGGTTCTGGGGTCCCAGATGCTGAGACACTAGCCACATTAGGTCCTCTGTGACCACCTCTGGATCTACCAACAAAAGCAATGGGGCTGGGTAATGATTGTCACCTGCAGACCCTGTAAAGCCTGTAATCCACGCATGCCTCTCGTCATGTTGGCCGATGTACTCGTTCTAGGAAATCAACAACACCATCATTAGCCTTTTTCGTGGTGTCAGATCCCACATGAAAGGCCCCCAACCACATCCCATTATTTCTGTCTGTCAGCTCCAACCCCTTGTCAGCTACAAGCCCAAGCACACCAAGTGCCTCTTCCAGGAAGCCCTCTGTAACTCTCCCAGCCTTCAGTGTCTTCCCTTCCTTTGAGCAACCGTAACGTTTGCAATTCAACACCCCCTGCCCCGCCCCATCCACACTGGACTCAGTGCAACACTGGACTGTTCTGCAAAGGAGCCTTGTTGCCCTGCCCTGCAAATTCTATGCAGTCTAGGGTCCTGTCTTTTGGTTCGTTTGGGATTTCCCCTCCAGCTAACCCTTCTCCCTCCTGAGTCAAGCACAGTAGACTGGGAACATCATAACTTCTGCAAAGGGCTTTACATATTATCATATTTTGATCCTCATAATCCTTGGAGATAGATCTCATTACAGACCCATTTCTCTTTGCAGAAGAGGAAACTGAGGCTCAGGGAAGTTCAGACACTTACCCAACATTCTTAGCCCTTCCCAGCATGTAGGAAAACTAATTCAAACAAGCTCATTGACACTGAAAATGCCCTCTCTCCCAAATGGGCTGGTGTTGGAAAGGTGGATGGTATGGAGGGTGGAGCTAGTGATGGGAAACGGTGGGATGGGTGCCCCCCTCCACAATCAACCCCGTACTCCCATAACCCAGGATTTTGGATCATTTTGCTACTCCATTCCACAGAGTATGGGAAGGCCTGGGCCGGAAGGGAGCTTAGAGTTCTTCCAGTCCAATTTCCAGCCCACCTTCTAACCTCCTAGGGCAAGGATACCCTAAACATTCATTCTGGATCTACCTTCTAGGAATTGATGAAAATTGATTCTGAAGTTGTTTATAGTTTAATTTCTTGAGGTTAAGGAGGTTTGGCAATGTCTCCCCGCCTATGTAGAAGGATACATTCTTTCAGTTGCCCTAAAACTACCATGTCCATGCTCTCCACTTCCCTCCCTTTGCCTGTCAGATCCTTTCTCTGCCTTCATCTTCTGAGTTTTAACAGCTACTGTTTGTGGTCTCTGACCCAGGGTATCAGAGAGGGCAAGGGGGAGAGAAGCTGTCTCTTACCATGTGAGCATCCGTGTCTGGGATGATGTAGGCCGAGAGATTCTGGGTCTGCATCTGCTGGCGGATGGCTGTGAGTGACACTGTGGTGTTGACCACAGTAACTGGAAGGTACTGACAGATGACAAGAAGATATCGAGACACAAACAAACAGATACACATGTTGCTTAGAGAAAATCACACATGGGCCCCTGGCCTCCAGAAGAGCCCCCAGCCTCTCCTGAAGCAGGGGTTGGGGAAAGTTAGGCTGACCTGGCTTGGGAAGGGTTGGGGCGGCAACTGATGTTACCGCTTAGTCTAGATAAAGATGCCTGGGCTGGGTGGAGATGGAGGTGTTGAAGAGTTTGGAAAGGGACCCCTTGTGACAGTAACGGGACCTGAGTCTGGGATGTGGGTGTGGGTGAGAACTGCAGGGGTCTGAGCTCTGGCACTGGGCCAGGCCATGCAGATGGTCCTTCTTTGGCTACCTGGGGTAGGGTTGCCAGATTAGTAAATAAAAATACAGGATACTCACCTAGTTATGTTTGCATTTCAAATAAACAATGTATAATGTTTTAATGTAATACATTAAAACATGCACAATTTGGGGCATACTTGCAGTAAATTCTTATTTGTTATCTAAAATTCAAATGTAACTGGGTGTCCTGTATTTTATCTGGCAACCTTCCCTTGGCAGGGCTTTTTCAGGTTGCCACCCACTGGTCCCAAATGGCAGAGGAGAGTGAATGAATGCCCCCAGCAGTTTGAGATATTGCCCAGAAAGACCCTTTCCAGACCAGTTCTCTATTTCTTTACAGGTCGTTTTAGCTTTAAAACGAAAAGCATGTTTTCGTTTGTGCTGTTTTGCTTTCTACTCCACAATATATCCATGTTTGTTTTAACATAAAAGTAATGTGGTTCGCCCACCCACCTGCCTGCCCCAGGGGGTCCCATAAAGTTGATATTGCTAGCAGATGTACTGCGTTTTTCCCATGGCTTACAGTGCTGCTGGCATGCCTACCCTTAGCCCCTACTCTGATTGTAGAAAGAATCACTCTGCTCCCCAGCTAGGAAGCTGACTACTCAAGCCCCTTCTGCAGGACCTTTTCCTCATCTTCACACCCTAGGCCTCCCTCTTTTGCCCTTCCTTTGGCTTTTCTTTGGTTTTGGTTTGGTTTTGTTTTGTTTTTGAGACAGTCTTGCTCTGTTGCCCAGACTGGAGTGTAGTGGCACGATCTCGGCTCCCTGCAACCTCTGCTTCCTGGGTTCAAGCAATTCTTCTGCCTCAGCCTCTCAAGTAGTGGGGATTACAGGGACCCGCCACCATGCCTAGCTCATTTTTTTAATTTTTAGTAGAGACGGGTTTCACCATGTTGCCCAGGCTGGTCTCGAACTCTTGACCTCAGGTGATCCACCCGACTTGGCCTCCCAAAGTGCTGGGATTACAGGCGTCAACCACAGTGCCCGGCCTCCGTTGGCTCTTCTAACCCCTGTCTTCCTCCCTCTTCCCTTCTGTGCTTCTTTTGCTGTCTGGAATTTGTCTTTTTTCCCTCCCATCTTCCTAGCCTCTGCCTGGCCTCAGCCAAAGGCCAGCTAGGGCCCTCCTGCCCTCCTCCCACCTCCTAGCGGGGTTTCCCAGACCCAGATCAGCACGGAAACAGATAACCTGCAGCGGGGAATGAGTGGGAGGGAGGGGAGGGCACTGATGTGGAGGGGAGGGAGTGGAGGGGGTAGGGGCCCCAGAGTCCGGAAATCAGGAGAAAGCCTGATGGGGGGAGGGGCTACCAACTGAGCGAATGGGGGATGGAGAAGACGATAGGGCACAGCGGGGGTGCCTCGATGCAGGGGTGCATGGGGCAGAGTGGCGGGGAGGTGCGCTGGGGGGGAGGGGGCTTGTGCGCGGGGCGGGAGTGGGGGCGGGGGCTACTCACAGGAGGGTTGGTGGAACAGTTTCTCACATCCTGCCCTCCAAGGTCCGCTGGCTTTGGGTGGCCCCAGGCACAAGCTAGAAGCCCAGAGAGAAACCCAGGGTCATTTGGGGACCAGCTAGTTACTAGAGAGGGAAGGACCTCAGCCCGCCCCGCAGGGCCTCCGTCCTTTGAAAGGCACGAAGCTGGCCAGCTCTACTTGAGGATAAAAATAATCACATTTCATAGGAAATCAGGCTGAATTGGATAGCACCCTGGGTCACAATCAAAGAAATCTGTTTCATAGACAAGTGATTGCCACTTTTGGATGGGTTTTAGTGCTCATTAAATCAATTTTTCTTCTAATCTAATTGGGTCTTTTCAGGGTTTAGTGAAGTGGAAAAGTTGTGTGTAAATTAAATTTTTGTTATCAAATTTTCTTTGAAATGCTCTAGAGGATCACACTAAATAATCACCCCACCTTCATTTTAGCCTTTTATAAATCTAATTGTATAATACACTGGGTTGACTTCAATTCAAGGCCTGCTTGCACTGTTTCTTACAGTCCAAATCTTTGCCTATCGTTCCAGGCTCATTTTCAATATATTAGACAGAAATCCCAGTCTTCCATGGTGGGGAAAGGTGGATTAATTAGCATTTAAAGACACCCTACTATGTGCCAGATACTGAACGCAGCAATTCACCTACAGTATCTCATTTGATATTTGTGACATCCCTATGAGGTGGAAATTATTGTTCAGTTTCTCCAGAGGAGCAAGTCAAGGCCCAGAGAGATCTGGTAACTTGTCTAACTTGTGCCACCAGCAGTCAGTGGTAGAACAGGGATTTGAACCCAGGCCATCTTAATACAAAAGAGGTGAGTGTCCTTTCTGTCCTCCCACTCTGCCAAGTATGAGAGGTGGGCCTGGAAAGGGTGATGCCACAGAAAAGACAGAGTATATGGAGATCTAGTTTCCAGTTAGGGCTCTACCCCAAATTTAGAGTGACTCAAGAGTGACTCCCCCAATATTGAGCAAACATCTAAGTGCCTACTGTGTGCCAGGCACTAGACTAAGTTCTCCAGGCTCTGGACCTCTGGAAAGGAGGGGCTTGAATTAGACAAAGTCCCTTCCTGCCCTGAAAGCCCAGTGGTCTCTGATAGTCCTTGCCTCTAACCCCTCTGTCTTTTAGGGAGGGATTTCCCTAGAGGGTAATGGGGCCCTGAGTGTGGGGAGATGTTACACTCTCCCTGGCCTCACCCCTTTTTTTTTTTTTTTGAGACAGAGTCTCTCTCTGTCACCCAGGCTGGAGTGCAGTGGGGCGATTTCAGCTCACTGCAACCTCTGCCTCCCGGGTTCAAGCGATTCTCCTGCTTCAGCCTCCCAAGTAGCTAGGACTACAGGCATGCACCAACCACACCCAGCTAATTTTTGTATTTTTAGTAGAGATGGGGTTTCACTATATTGGCCAGGCTGGTCTCAAACTCCTGACCTCAAGTGATCCACCTGCCTCGGCCTCCCAAAGTGTTGCGATTACAGGCGTGAGTCACTGCACCCAACACCCCTCTGCACCTTTATTTATTTATTTTTTTTGAGATGGAGTCTCCCTCTTTTGCCCAGGCTGGAGTGCAGTGGCATGATCTTGGCTCACTGCAGTCTCTGCCTACTGGGTTCAAGCGATTCTCTGCCTCCGCCCCTTGAGGAGCTAGGATTACAAGTGTGTGCCACCATGCCTGGCTAATTTTTATAATTTTAGTAGAGATGGTGTTTCACCATGTTGGCCAGGCTGGTCTTGAACTTCTGACCTCAAGTGATCTACCTGCCATGGCCTCCCAAAGAGCTGGGATTACAGGCATGAGCCACCACACCCAGCCACACTTTTAGTGGGTTGAGCTACAGATGCAAGGAGGGTGGCTGGGGTTCATCACCATGAACGCTCTGCGTGATTTTGTCTTGGTCTCATAAACTCAAGGATCAGATGTGACCCATACTGTTTATTTAAGAAAATGAACACCCATTTCTGTAGAAACAGATCCCTGGCAAAATGTTGGCACTGAGATGCTAACATAAGAAGCGGGACACAGCCAACTTATGTCTCTCTGGACACCAGAACATGCTGTTCTCTGAAGCCAGGGGTTCCCAAGAGTAGGCTCTGCAGCTGAATGACTCTGTGGTCCCTGGCACAAGGCCTGGCTCTGGGTAGGTGCTCAGGAACTGGACACTGAGTGACTGATTAGGCCCTGCCGACAGATAACAAAGAAAGGAAGGCTACGGTGGGAGCGCTGGGCTGGGCACCTAGTTGAGGACAGAGGGTGCCGCAGGAATGATGAAGACTCTCTCCCTGACCAAAGTTTAGTTAGGCTCCCCCAAAGCCTCTTCTCCACTTGGCCTTGACCTTGGCCTTCTGTGTCTGTCCTGCCCTTGCCAGGCCTGCATCACCCAGTCTTAGCAAGAATCTTGCTAAGTCAGTTTAGACACCCTTGATATCTGATCACTCTGGCCTGCTGTCAGCAAGAATCCTGTTCAGTCGGTTTAGCAAGAATCCCCCTACCCTTGCTATCTCCTCTTAATACTTTTCCATCCACTGACCCCCTCACTCTGCTCCTTGGCTACAGATCCCTGGAAGTCTTTTCTGTAATCAGAGTTGAGTCCCATCTCTCTCCTCTATTGCAATGCGGTAGTCTTAAATTAAGTTTTCCTTACCATTTTAACGAGTGTCAGAATAATATTTTTTCTTTAACGGGGGAATGTAAAGGTGCCAAACCAGACTCGATCCAAGTCACGAGGGCCCCCAACACTGGCCCTGAGGTGCCTCTTCCTCAAGTCAGAGAGAAGAAGCAACAGAAAAAGAGACTCGTGCCCCACCCCTCACTCCAACCCTTTCTGAGCTCAGAGGGGAGAGGTCAGAGGTGCCTTCCAGTGGAAGCTAGGATGCACATACCACAGAGGAGGACCAGCCAGGGGCAGCAGCCCCAGTGAGCCCGGGCCATAGGGTCTCCAGATGCAGGCGCTGGGTGGATGGAGGGACAAGGGAGAGAGGGAGGGTTCTTTCCCCGGCCTCTTCCTTCGGGCCTTTCCTGGGCACGAGCAGACAAGGGGTGGGGGCTGGCGTCAAGAAGGAGGCGTCTGGCTGCTGGATGGAGAGTGCCTCTCTGGTCTTTTGCTTAGGAGGGCTCTGGGAGCCAGGGTGGGCAGAGGAGCTTTGGGCTGCCCGAGGCGGACTCTGCAAGTTCCTAGTTGTCTACGATAGGGTGTGAGGCTATCCTGGGCAGAGTCCAAAGATCTCAAGAGACAGAGGCACAACAGCTAGTCTCAATCAGCCTGCTTTTCCCAGCCCCCTCTCAGCAGCCGAGCCCCAGCCATTCCTTAATTTGGTCCCCTTCCCTCCAGCAAGCTGATTCCCATTAGCTCCCACACTCTGGGCTCTGGCTCCAGCACCTGCTTTTGCTGTGGGAATGGAGATTTGCCTCCTGCTGCTGCTCCTCCTCCTCCCCCCTCTTCCTCCTCCTCCTTTTCCTTCTCTTTCTCATTTTTCCTCCTTCCCCTCATTTTCTGTTTTCCTCCTCCTCTTCCTCTTCCTCCTTTTCCCTCTTTGTCCTCTTCCTTTTCTTTTTTCCTCCTCCTTCTCCATTTCCTCCTCATCCTCCTTTTTCCTCTTCCTCCCCCTCCTTTTTTGTCTCCCCCTCTTCCTCCAAGCTGGCTGGAAAAGCCAGTGTCCTCTCTTCTTGCAGTGCTTGGCAATTCCCACTGTACCCCTTGGGAAAGTTGGTTGTGACTGGAGAGTTACTTTCTTGAGCTGGGATGAGTCCCCCCAGGAGCGCCCACTCTGAGGAAGTGATGCCAGCTCTTCCCTTGGGATCTGGGGAGTCCCATTCCACTGCATTTTCTGAACCTGCACTCTGGGGAACTGAGGCTGTTGGAGTCACTCACACCTGGGAGGAAATGAAAGCCCAAAGATGCCCCTATCTGGAGGGTTCGAAGGATGCCACTGAAGAGGGAAGAAGACCCAGAAAGGGGAGTTTGGGCGCTCTGAGAAGACTAACTTGGTGAACTGGAAATGCTCTTTCTGCCATAGCTTCTAGAACAGCGATTTGGTTACCCCGAAGTGTCTCCCCACGAGGGAAGTGGAGAAGCTGAGGCCTGCCTTGTCTTCATGCCCAGCTGAATCAGAGGGCAGCATCAAGGCAGCTCCTAGTAAATGCTCTACAGAACCCTTGCTCTTTGGGCTCGAGGAAGGCGATGTCCCAGAGAGGAATGCTTTAGAGAGACAAACAGACCCAGTGGGGTTGGGTGCTCACCTAGCCTGGAGGGCCCCAGAGGCAAACCGCCCATTCCTTTTGTTTCTATTTTTATTTTTGAAACAAGGTCTTATTCTGTTGCCCAGGGTGGAGTGCAGTGGCATGTTCTCGGTTCACTGCAACCACAGGCTCCCGGGCTCAAGCAATTCTCCAGCGTCAGCTTCCCGAGTAGCTGGGACCCTAGGTGAGTGTCACCATGCCTGGCCACCATTCCTTTTGTTTCTATTTTTAATGGATTTACAGTCTGCTTATGTCCACATCAAGTTTAAAGCAACTTTCGACAATCCAAGAACGACAAAATAGGCCATTTTGAAGAGAGAAAGAGGACCTTCATGGGAGTCTCCGAAGGGGCAGAGTCAAAATGATTGAGGTGGCTCAGTGAACTTCATTCCCAGGAACAAAAGCAGAGGGCAGGAGCCCACAGCCTCAGAGGACAGACCAGGAACAAGGAGAACTTGAGAATGCTGTCATTCAATAACCGCTGAAGCTCCCGCAGCCTTTTCCCCAGCCTCCTCTCTCCCACCCCTTCCAGAGTTGGTAATGAAATTATTCCCAGAGACCAGAGCACTGGGAAATGCCCCCTCAAAGCCTCCTCCCCACTCTGTTCACTGTAGTAGCCATCCTGAAGGGCAAGCAGGCAGAGCTGATGAGATTGTGCATGGGAAGACCCCTGAAGATAGCCTTTGAGGACAAACACAGTCCTGTTTTTCTGTCAGTGAATTGAGTCTTGAAACACTGACTTGGAAGCCATCTGCCTGAGTTTCAATCCCAGCTCTGGCACCCACTAGCTGTGTGATCGTGGACAAGTGACTTTATCTCCCTGAATCCCCAGTGTCCTCACCTGTGAAATGGAGTAATGATAGTACTAACTTTTTAGGGTTGTTATGAGGATTCAATGGGCTAATATTTGTGATGCTCTCAGAACATGCCTCGCGGAGACAAGAGTAAATGTTCTACAAATGTTCGTTAACTCACATACTAGAACTAAATAAAGCCAGTCTCATCTGTACTTTGTTCTTTCTCTCCCTGGCATCCAGCACTCCTGAAATGGCAGTTGTTATAGCAAAGATCAGCTGAGCTGAAGGGCCAATCCCTGAAGCAAACAAACTAAACAGGGATTTCACCCGCATCTTCTGGACTCTGCCCAGGGATGGTCCCCACGTAATACTCAACCCTCTGGTTTCATACTTCTGGGTCCCAGCCTTAGTCCTGGTGGCAAAGATAACTTCACTTGCCTTCATCAGCTCTTTCCTTATCTCCCTATTTTGAAACCACTGTCTTTACTCTTATCAGTTGAGAGACTTCAACCCAAGTTGGCAATAGGCTTGAAGTGGAAAGAAATGATTCAAGGTGGGGAGGGTTGAATGGCCGAGTCTTTGCATCAAAGTTGTTTGGAAGATGCATGCGTCACTAGAGTCTTGTTCTGGCCTGCTCACGCAGTGGACTTCTGCTTGTTTTACTTTTTGGTCCAAGGCTAGCCTAAAAGCCAAATTCTGAAATCAGAGGTGATCTTCTCTAGAGTACCTCCTGTCTGTGCCTCTTATTTTGCATCCTGATGCCACCCCAGGCTTGTCACCCTGACTTCCAACATGAGCCTGCCCTCTCTGGGCACCAAAGCCTCCTTGACTTCCATCAGAATACACCTTCCTGACTTACATGTTCTCTTGCCAGGTGACAACCACTAGGTGTCCTGAATCGCAGATGAGGTCACAATAACAACTCATGTCATGAGTATGAATGAGAAAATGCATATAAAGTGATGAGCAAGCAGGAAGCTCTAGCACCAGGGATACAAACAGCTCTGCTGTGGGAGCCCCAGGGAAGGGTAGAACCTGGAGGAAGGCCAGGAATCAGAGAGGTGGAGTGAACCTTGGCAGTAGAGGTGCAGAGATGGCATTGCAGGAGGTGGTCACAGGGAAGGACAGCAGTCTAGGGGCAGATTGGCAGCAGTAATGTGAAAAGCAGCCTGAAGAAGCACAGGTGGACAGCGCTATGGCCTGGAATAGCTGGTGGCAACAGGGAAGTCAGAGACCCAAGGGGGATATGAGCCCTGCAGAGCATCCCCTGGGGATGTCCCAAGTTACTGAGGATGAAATCATGAAACGATACCTGAGGTTCTGCAGTTCTCCAGGTGGGAAGGAGACTTTTGAGCTAGCACATGCCCAGTCTAACTGTTCATGTGACCTCAGAGGCTGAGGGACTGGGGACGCTTGGCCTCGTGGGCACAGCATGTGATCTCTGCTTCCAAATTCCCTTTATAATTTCCCATCAGATTCCAGCATCTCATGCTGGGAGACAGGCAGGGTTCTCAGCAGGAGAAGAGAAGACAGACTTGGAGAAAAAAAGTGGCTTTGCCTGGGTCCAAGCTGACCTGTGGCAGAGCTGGGACTCAAACCTGGGTCTGGGGAACTTAAAAGCCCATGCTCTGTCCATTGGGCCTCATTGTCACCCCAATCTGAAGATCCTCCATGGCTCCCACCCCCTCAGGGTAGAATTCAATATCCTCAGCTCAGTGGCCAAGGCCTTCCTCCCTAACATTACCCATCTCTTCTTGTCCACATTCTCTCCATCCATCAAAGTCCAGCACAAAAGTCATCTTATCTACCAAGCCCTCATCACCTCAAATTCATCTTGGAGACTTCCATAACATTTTATGGGAGCTTCTATTTTCAAAGACTCACACTGACCTTTTTCTTTCTCAACAACTCTTCTGTCTTAGGTCACCCATCCCCAAGGGCAGGAGCTTGCTTTTTATAAATGTTTAGATCCAGGACAGGTCCTGTCCAGGACAGAGCCCAGCAAAAAGCGGGCTCAACACAAGTTTGCAGAGTTGATACATTAACTCCAAAGTCCAAAATTCAAAGTCTCATCTGGAAATGAGTTCCTTCCACCTATGAGCCTGTAAAAATAAAAAACAAGTTATTTACTTCCAAGATGCAATGGGGGATAGGCATTGAGTAAACATTTTCATTCCAAAAGGGAGAAATTGGGCAAAATAAAGGGCTACAGGCCCCATGCAAGTTTGAAACCCAAAAGGGCAGTCTTTAAATGTCACAGCTCCAAAATAATCTCCTTCAACTCCATATCCCACATCCAGGCCACACTGACACAAGGGGTGGGCTCCCAAGGCCTTGGGCAGCTCTGCCCCTGTAGCTTTGCTGGGTTTGGCCCCTGTAGCTGCTCTCACAGTTGTTGAGTGTCTGTGGCTTTTCCAGGTGCAGGGTGCAAGCTGTTGGTGGATCTACCATTCTGAGGTTTGGAGGACTGGGGCCCCCTTCCCACAGCCCCACTAGGCAGTGCCCCCAGTGGAGACTACATGGGGGCTCCAACCCCACGTTTCCCCTCTGCACTGTCCTAGCAAAGGTTTTCCATGAGGGCTCTGCCCCTGTAGCAGGCTCTGCCTGAGCACCCAGGCTTTCCTATACATCTTCTGAAATCTAGTCAGAGGCTGCCAAGCCTCCTTCACTCTTGCACTCTGTACACCTACAGGCTTAATGCCACATAGAAGCTGCCAAGGCTTACAGCTTACACTTTCTGAAGCAGCAACCTGAGCTGTATCTGGAGACCTTTGAGCCAAGGCTGGAGCTAGAGTGGCCAGGATGCAAGAAGCAGTGTCCAGAGGCTGTACAGGGCAGCAGGGCCCTAGCCCTGGCCCATGAAACCATTTGGTCCTCCTTGGCCTCAGAGCCTGTGATGGGAGGGGTTGCCTCTTAGATCTCTGAAATGCCTTTTTTAGTTATGCAAATATCTCTAGCAAGTGGTTACCCCACAGCCTGCTTGAATTCATCCCCTGAAATTGGGCTTTTCTTTTCTACCACATAGTGAGGGTGCAAATTTTCCAAACTCTTACACTGTGCTTCCCATTTAAATAAAAGTTCCAACATTAAGTCATTCCTTTCCTCCCACACCTGAGCATAGATTGTTAGAAGCAGCCTGGTACCTCTTGAATGTTTTGCTGCTTAGAAATTTCTTCTGCCAGATACCCTAAATCATCAATCTGAAGTTCAAACATCCACAGATCCCTAGGTCATGGACACAATACAGCCAAGTTCTTTGTTAAGGCATAACACAGGTGACCTTTGTTCCAGTTCCCAATAAGTTCCTCGTTTCAATCTGAGACCTCAGCAGCCTGGACTTCACCGTCTACATCACAAACAGCATTTGGGTCACAACCATTTAACTAGTGTCTAAGAAGTTCTAAACTTTCCCCCAT